CTGCATCAAACAAGCTTTGAGAATGATTATACCCAGAGTTCTGAACAGTTCCCCTCTCAAAACATTCTTTAATTAATACAGAAGAAATTTTCATTTTAAGAATGTTGGCAAATGATCACCAAATTCTCAGGGGGTAAAAGCAGTAACATAGCCAGACTGGACCACCAGGATACTGGCAAATTTTCTGGTGAGCTGCGGCACCTGGGGCTGGGCAGGTAGCCCTAATGCCATTTGAATAATTTTTTTCTCGAACTGTGACAGTGCGAGGGAAGTAAGGTGGGAGGTGCAGGAGGCTGGTGCGGCCGCATTAAGGCTGCCATTGACCTAAGGGAGCACCGTCAGGCTCCCTTTACAATTCCCAGCTGCATTCCTCACTCAAGCTGCTCTACCAGCCTCAAACAGGTGACCTCACCAGCAGAACGAGGCTGTAATATGGCAACTTCACCTCCCAGTCCTCCCACAGCCCTCAAAGTATATATTCTTTTACTCTACAATATGTGAGCATGCTTACTGTAAAATTACATTATTTTTTCTCTGAAAAGAACAATATTTTGGATTTAAACAGAAAAAAGAAATACACCAATAATATTATATACATTGATATATAATGGCAAATATTACTTTATAACATTTAAAATATGGGTATATCTTGCTACCCCAGACAATTGAATTATTTATAAACATAGCATTATTTTATATATAAAGTATATTATTATTATTATTATTATTATTATTATTATTATAGTCACCATTTATATAGCGTCAACAGATTCCGTAGCATTTTACAATATTATGAGAGGGGATTTAACTATAAATAGGACAATTACAAGAAAACTTACAGGAACGATAGGTTGAAGAGGACCCTGCTCAAACGAGCTTACAGTCTGTAGGAGGTGAGGTATAAAACACATTAGGACAGGAAATATCAATCAAATAAGGTGGGAGTGAAGCAGAGCTGGAGGAGAGATTAGACTGCTACCCTTTAGGAGAGACCAAGAGACAGGTATGTGAGGTAGAGGTTACTCTGGGAGGCCATAAGCTTTCCTAAAGAGACGGGAAGCAGAGAGGTCAAGATGAATTAGTATGTAGTAGTGGCACACACACTACATGGCACAATGACTTAAAAGGCTGGCATACATTTCCAGGGCTGCTTTGTATTCCCAGTCTGACCCTGAGCAGCAAGTACCTGTTAAGAAAGAAAATCTAATAATTCCTCCTGAGGTTTTATAACATTACAGAAGAGGCTCCAACGCACATACT